CCTGCTGTAACAGTGTAACAATGATAGATCACCTGTGGCGCTCTGGCATCTTCTCCCGGGTGAGTCCCGATTTCACTGACTGTAACGATATGACGATCACCTGTGGTGCCGTGGCATCTTCTCTTTGGGGCTGAGTCCCGATTTCACTCAGCTGCCTCAAGAACCTGACATTAGGTTTTTGTTGATCTTTTTCTAGCTGGGGCAGGGCCTCTGCTGACCCATAGAGAAACACCCACAAATGCTCACTCCTGGCCACTGGAGTTGAAGAAAGAAGAAAGAAACACGAAAAGCAGCTCAACAAAGACAGGTTTATTTTGGAGAATAAACCCGAGAGGGCCTTCTGACCTATTTAGGTCCAGAGTGTTCTCTCTTACAGACTAAGGGTATTTGAGGGTTCAGGGAGGGAGAGCTTGTCGCAGGTTCGGAGTGTTTTGGGGCGGGGGGATTTTTATGGCTGGGTTGGAAGGTTTCGGGTCAGAGGGGAGTCTGTCTTGGGGTTGGCATGTTTCTGGCCAAAGGTGTCATTTGTGGTTTATGGTCACACTGATATTAGACATTAGGTTGATGTTTTTGGGGCTGGATTTTGGGGGCTTTTAATCAAGGAGAACTTCAAATGGTGGTGTTTGTCCAAGACGGTGACGTTCCTGCTCTGTCAATCCAGACTCTATAGTTGAAAAGGGTGAGGTGTGGCATGTTCTTTCCGGCTACTTCCTGCTGAGAGAGAGTCGTCCTTACAGGCCACTGAACGCAGCGTCTGTGGATACATCTAGGAGTGGAAGAGGCGGATTTTTCCCAGAAACACTCTGTTTTAGGGGCTTAGAGGCAGCGTCTGTGGATACATCTGTCTTCAGCTTACAGGGCTGAAAGCACAGCTTAGGTTTCAGTGATTTCCAGTTAGAAAAGTGGGGAAAAAGGAAAAATTGAAAACATTATTTTGGAGACTTGTAGCCAGAAAAATTAGACTTTAAATTGTAGAAAATCATAACAATTGAAAAACATCAGACAAGACTGGAATTTAACAACAGGTGTGCTATAGTTTTTGAAACATAGTTTTCTCTCTCCAGTTTTCCATTTTTTTAAAAGACACATGATGGGACTGGTTTACTTTATTATACTTGGCTTGATTATTTGTATACAGTGCAGCAAGAATAATTATTTTTTCACATAGGCCTTTTAAATTGTCTTTGATGGAACTTTGTTTTGTAGAAGGAGCCTGGGATAAGACTTTTTAAAGCTGAGCCCAGCCATGGATTGTACCATTAAATACCTATGAGTTGGGTGAATTCCTCTCCTGTTGAGGTTCCTGGCCTGTCAGAAACTGACATTTTTTACTTACCACAGATCAGAACGCCTGTGCAGGGACTGTGTACACAGAGCAGGAGGCCAGTTTCCAAGAGCTTTATTGGCTTCATAAGTCAAGTTTGGTTCCTTAAAGGAAAGCACACAAAAAGTCTTATTTTACCAAGACTTTGACCATTCCAGTCAAAGTCTTGGTAAAATAACCAGTTTCTCCAGTTGTGTCCTGTTACAAAACAGATTCTTATTCCACTTATGCAAATAACTGTATTGCCATAACTTAAGAATAGTCACAAATAGTTTCCAAATTCTAGAGAAAATCAGATAGAGAGAAACAAGCTCCAAATTTTGTTCATGGGAGTATACTAAATTGTTAAAAGCTGTCCATAGCTCAGAAGAAGTTTCCTTGATTCTGAAAAGCAAGACAAAGGATTAGCAACATTTTAAGCAAAACGTCAAAAAGATCACTCCAGTCTCCTGTTGGTTCAGTTCATGCAGTTAATTCCTGTCCTGCTTGGTATTAATGAACATTTTAGCTCTTCAAGAGTCCTGAACGTTTTTCCTCTATTCTGATGTCACAATCTTCAAAGTTATCAGAAACCTGCATTCAGGAGCACCGGTTAGAGCTTCATAGCTGATTATAAAACCGCCTTCTAAAGAGGACCAAGACGAGACAACAGTTGTTCATGGATGACAGAATGTTTCAGGGTAGCCACAGGGACACAATTGGCAAGGAAATCTGTTACCTCGTGGCACAATAATTTTAACTTAACAATGATAATTACTACTGATAATGTACACTAAAATGTATGAGAATTATGAGTCTCCCTTAACTTTGGAACACATACCAATAACATACTTATACAAATATAGCCCAAAGAAAGCCAAACACCATTGCATATTTGACATTGATGAGCTTCTGACAGCCACATGGTGGCTGCAGCTCGCCCCCAGCCCACACACCGTGGCCCCTGCCCCACCTCAGCGGGCCCCAGTCCCACCGACATGCAGCCCCCAGCCCACACACCGTGGCCCCTGCCCCACCTCAGCGGGCCCCAGTCCCACCGATGTGCAGCCCCCAGCACCTTGCTCCCCTCGCCTTGAGGAAATCGTTTATTCTTCCAGGACTGGGTCAGCCCTTCCTTCTTTCTCAGGGTGCAGTGAGGCCTTCCTCATGTGCACACCCAGAGCCCTGGTTTACGCTTTGCTACGGTGGCCGTCAGACGGGGTCAGCTGCTCAAGGGGGAACCTGCCTTATCTGTCCGTTCCTGCAGCACACCGGGCAGCCGCACCATGCGATGGGCTCTGTCATGTTTAGTCAATCGAACCAGAGCAATTAGGCAGAAGAGGAGATTTTTAAATTGCCACAGCCTGTAGAGTGTCCAAATAGAAATAAGCTGTTGGTTCAGACTCAGGCTAATGCAGCCATGGTTTTCTGCACAGCTTCCTTCTGGGAGCACCTCAACTTTCTTTTAGGCAATCGGCGATAAAATGCCAGAAATGCGGGACGCGGGAAGGGCGGGGATGCACCTGTTGTGTTCACATCTGCGCCTGCAGCACCGGGCTGCGTATCCCGTGGGGACGCTGGAGCATCCGTGACGCTCGTGAATAAGTCAGTGAGCCCAGCACTTCCCTTTCCAGAGGGGGAATCAGGGACCACTAGGGGCAAGTCCAGCCCAGCAGTTCAGAGAATCCTCCGGAAGAACTCAGCGTGCCAGCTCTGCTCTGCTCTGCCTGGGGAGGTGGCAGGGGGCGTACGAGAGCAAGGGCTCCATCCAAGGCCACTCCAAGAACCCATGTGCTGCCCTTGGGTCTGGTGGCCACGTCCCCTTCCGCCCCCTCACACAGCCACTGGGGGCCAGAGCTCAGGGGAGTCAGCCAGCTTCATACTAACTGCCCAGGCTTTGTTCAGACCTGCCTCTTCTCGTAAACCTAAAATATGTATTTTGGAAGTGCACGTGCTTGATGTCTGAGCTCTTAGAACGTCTCGTCTGATCTGCTGTGGCAGGTTTCCTTAGAAGAAAGGTGCCAGCAGGTGGAAGAACCGTCTCTCTCTAATTCATGCGGGGACCGTGCCAGCCTGGGACCTGCCCGAGGACGTACTGACTTTCGTGGACTCGCTCTCCGGCCCGCTGCCCCAGCCCTGCTGCCTCATCACTCACATTTAATGCAAGGCGCCATTTGTGACTGTCTAGCGTGGGCTCACCAGGAAGCCACCGATTGACAGCTCTTCCTCTGCTGAAGGATAAAACACCCAGATTCGCAGTGAGGGTGCCCACTGGTTAAAAAAAAAGCTGCACTTTCCTCCACAAAAGGGCTTGGCCAGCAGCATGGGGCGCCCTGGACCGGCTCTGATGGGGCTTCCAGGGAGGACCCCCAGCAGGCCTGTGGTGTGGAGGGTCAGAAGTGGGGGGGCAGGTGGCCACCACTGGCCCATGGCTTGAAAGGTTTGGACCTACCAGCCCCTACCTGCCACCTTCTGCTGCTGTGGGGCCTGCTGGGAACGTGTCCCACCTGTGAATCCAGTGGGTAGCGTTAGAGCCGTGGCAGATGGGCTGGATTTGGCTGCTGTTTGGGTTGCGGGCGACGATAGGTGTGCAGCCTGGGGCAGAGATGGACACACAGGGCCACGCCGACATCGGGGGGAAGAGGCCACGGCAGTTCCACGTGAGGGTCACGGTGGATGAGACTCCTCTCTCCACACTGGCTCCCTGGGGAGAAGGAAGGTCGGGGCGCCTCTGCTGGGTGTGTTCACGAGTGTGTGGAGGAGGCCACCCTGCTCAGTCAGCTGTGCTCTGACAAGAGCTCGGTGGCCCGGACAAGCACTCCTGCTCGTGCCTGGTGTGCAGGACGGGTCCAAACAGACTCAGGCTTCCCACGTCCCCGTGCAGCACCACGGCCCCCGAGCCGCAGGCCCTCCCTCTGCTGTCACCGATGGGTTCTGCTTGTCACTGGGACCTCTTTCCCAAGCCGGCAACTCAGCATCGCATGGGGATGGAACCAAGCGAGGTGCCACCTCGGGGCCACAGTTTTCAGTGGCCATTCAGGAGGGTCTGCTCTGCCCAGCATGGTACCGAGCCAGGCACCAAAAAGAGAATGACAGCACCTGCCCCCCCCCGTCGGGCATCCATGGGGATGGAGACTCCCTGCCAGTTTTTAGGGTTAGAGCAGGACACCCCGCTTTATAGCAGAGTTTGTAGTGGCAAGAAATTGCCAACTGTTTAAATATCCATCAGTGTGCACTGGTTCACTAATGCACTATAAACCATTGCTAGCTCCAAGCTCCAAGACCATTAGGTAAGAAAAGCAGGTTGTGCAAAACCAGTGTGTGAAGCTGATCTGATGACTTTAAGGCCTGTGGCAAGCGTGCACATGCATGTGTGTGTCATGAGCATACATATTAGGGTTGTGCACACGACCTGCCATCAGAGGTTGCTTCTCAGAGGCGCATGCCGAGGGCCCGGGGATGGCAACGCCCTTCCATGCAGAAGGCACCTGGGTGGGTCTTGTGGGACAGACGCATGAGGACCACCCACAGGGTGGAGCCTGGCCTGGCCAGGCTGGAGGTCCCAGGACGAAAGGCAGAGGTGAGAAGAGGCAATTCTGCGAAACAGCCTCGACCTCGAGCTGGGACTTTGAACTGGTTTGCACTTGAAAGCCGGGGTTGGTAAAAGCTGGGCACCCACACTCTTCTTCCGTTGCAGCTGGTGGCAGCGATTGTGTTCATCAGTTTTGGTGTGGTGGCCGCCTTCTGCTGCGCCATCGTGGACGGCGTATTTGCAGCGCAGCACATTGTGAGTACGTTGTCATTGTGTGCACAGTCTCGGTCGCTTTCCGGGGCTGAAAGACCCCACATGGAAAAAGTAAAATTTCATTTTGCAGAACTCAGCTCAGACGGCTTCATAGTCGGTCTCCTCACTGGGGGGTTGCCAGTGGCTGCCTCTCCTCTCCGCAAGTCTCATTTCCTACACAATGAGCTTCCCTCTCCACACACGCCACACACACCACACACCACACAGAGCACACAGCACACACAACACAACACACAGAGCACACACACCACA